AAAACTAAAAAAAAAAAAAAAAAAAAGAAAAAAGCGACTTGATATGATCAGATTTAACATTTCTCAAATAATATCACAAATATATAGAAGCCTACACTAGTTCTCTTAAATTTCAATTTTATCGAAATTTCAATTTGGATAAGATTATTTTTTTTTTTTATTGGTAGAGTAGTTGATAAAATTTGCTAATGATAACTGCTTCATTATTATGATGAGCAAAATAAATGAAAGGAAAAAATTGATGTATTAATTTTGATGACCTCATTCTCATGCATATTATCCCCTATAACCTTTGCCCTTTTCAAAATTTCCATACGAGCATTAGCAATTTAGATGGATGAATTTTTTTTTTACTTTCAATTTTAATTTTGCAAAAAATTTATGTGAAATAAATTTTTTAATATTAACTGATTTTTTAAATTTTTCCATTCATTCTTTTCCAGTGATTCGAAATAATTTGCTTTTATGTTGCGAAAAAAAATTGAATTTCAAAAAGTCACTAACGTTATTTCAATTTCAAAGCTTCAAAATGATGTGGCATTTTAAACTTTCAATCAAATAACTAAGAAAACAAAAAATTTCTTACAACGGAAAAAAGAAAAACAAATTCAAAAAAAAAACAACATTCATCTTCCGCATATGCTTTTACTTAATGATTTTAATAAATATCATATTATCTCGCCTGATACCTTTTTCTTTTTTTATGAGCAACCAAATTACAGAAATAGCATGGAAATGCGTAATTAATTGGTAATGTAAATATAAATTAAATAATTAAAATAATAAATTAAATATATATAATAAATTAAATTGAGGCTAATAGCTAACGCTATCTGATTTTTCAATGTTTCTAACATGAAATGTTTTCATTAGCATTGTAAGCATTGCTTCGAAACTTTAGCATCATGCTTATTGGGATTATAAAATGAAACATATATACCTTTTGAATTTTGCTCATTTTAAAACATGAATTATAATTTTGAAAAAAAAGCTTTAACGATAAATATAATATGAAAGTTTTAACAAAAAAAAAAGTGAAGTAAAAGAGTGGAGAAAAAAGTTAGCCATTGATTAACCTGAAATTCATGTAAAGCAGCAAATTTGACAACATTCAAACCATTTGGTGTTACAATATCCGGTTTCTGATGAATTAAATGCTCCGCTTCAATACCCGTTATTTCACTAACAGTCGTAAAAACATGTGCCATATGACATGCTGCACGTTCCATACAATATTGATGATAAATCTTAAAAATTTTTAATTTTTAAAAATTAATTAAAATTTTTTAAAATTTTAATTTCTAAAATTTAAAACTATTAAATTAATTAAAATATCCCTTCTCTATTTTTAACTTTTTTGAAAATTTCCTCCTATGAAAATGC